TCTTTGATTTCTTGTGACATTGAAAATTGTCACTGTTACTGCAACCTCTCTTTGACCTACTGCTGTTTCTCTGGATACAGTACTTGTGTGACGCACTTCCTCCTTTCTGGAAGGAACACCACCAATACTTTTTCCACACATGCGTTGTGAAATGATCTTTAACTCAATGGCCAGTAGGGTCCCATGCACACAAGGTCTGTTCTTGTTACTTCTTGATATATGCCCACAGCTAAAACAGGGCCTTCGCAGTTGCTCAAAAAATGTTTGACGAATGTGTGTTCTTTCCTTTTTATACCTGAATTTTAAACCACTAGTTCACAAATGTCCAACACCGCTCCTTATAAACAATCTATTTTTAAGCACCCCAAACTGATTGTCTGGATGTGGCCTAAATTAAATGTGGCAAATGCACTTCATTCTTCTCTCTGTCTCGTTTTCCAAAGCCTGTGGCCAATGTCACCTTACTGATTTTCTAAACTGGACATTTTTACTTTATACACCAGTCTATTTGCCAAATTATGTTGGCCCTTGCTCTACATTATATCTTAAACATATCTTGTTTTCTTTATTACTAATGACAGATTTTGTATATCTCTGGACAATCCATAGGCCAGACTATTTTAACCTTTTGATTTACTAAACTTAGAACCATTTTCCCCAACAATTCTTCCTGTTGCTAGCAAAATTATTTTCCTATCATGGTTTTGATCTATTCTTTGGTCTCTGTAAAGGTTTTCAATTCATCTAACTAACTGAATTGAGTAGTAGTAGTGAGTAAGCATGTAGACTTGGAATCAAATTGTTTGGGCACCAATCATCTTACTAGTTGAGGAACCTTAAAGAAGTTTCACTTATGGTTGCTAAATTTTCCCTTGTGTAATGTGGGATGACCATAGTGCCTTCCTCATAAAGTTGTTGTGAAGATTCATACAATGACGCACTGCAAGGTAAGTGGTAATTGCTTGATAAATGACATCTCTTACCATTTTTATTATTAAGGTCCTATCTTGCATTATCCCTGAACTATGGCACTATAATTATATAGCCACTGCTAGTTCTCCCTAATATTACCTGAATCTGCATCAACTGGCCTGCCATTGGTGACATGTCAGACAAACAAGTGGCCGTGGTCCTTGTATGCATGGGGTACTGCCTGGTGCTGAATGATGCTCTTACTTTATGCTGATATACCACGACCCATTGCCTATTTCTGGGACATCTTCAAATTGCCTGCTGTGCCTCAGCCTTGTTTATAGGCCCCCATAATTTTCCACCTGGTGATTTCCACTGTCAACTGTCTAATGAGTTGAAGTTATTCAAATATTCAAATAGTGATCCTTATTCTGAAGATATACATATCCTTTTTCAAATATCAACATATTCAATAATCTATTTTATTTAATATTGCCTTTTATGTTATAAATGTAGTGTTGGTTGAACTTCATTCTTTCCTAAATTGAAGGAATATGTTGCAGGTGTTTGTGCGTGTAAGGCCTTGCATTAAGTACTGTGGAGCAATACACTACGTTAAACAGGTGCTGCTCCAGAGGGACTAATATACAAATTGTACAGCACCCATATGCTCATAGGTGACTTTGATGATGATAAACATAACATTTCTCATCCTTTTTTTTTCACTGATATGGACAAATTAAGCTATGTACAATAAACATCTGAATTGTACAGGAATTAACATAAGAATTGGGATACAGAAACAAAATAGATAGCATAAAAATAATCAGGGTAACTTCTTTTTAAAGCCTGGTAATAAGGAATTTGAGCAGTTGGTCTCCATTTTCATTATACTCTATGGTAAATACGGTATTATACACAGTATATTTATCAGAGTACACATCATGGGCATAAAAGGCACAAAAGAAAGCCAGAGATTTAACACTCTCGAGTATGCATAAACTGTCATTGGCGTGCAAGTCTTGGATTCTCTCAGTATGCTTATGAAATGGCTCAGTGAAGCAAGCACTGAGAACCAGGTTCAACTGAAGTCTATCCAAGACAGCAATTTGACAGAAACTAGGATAACGATTACAAAAATTACAACAAGCTCTCTTAAAAGTTCATTTCTGTCCTTTCCCCAAATCAGAATAAGAATGGAGAGAAATGAAATGAATGAAAGAAATCTGATGGGCAATGCAGCAGGTTTTTTCTGTCAGTGGTAAGCCTCCCTAGAAATCACCTGCTTCAGTTTTTAATTAGTGACTTGAGCTCATGTGTCAGAAAATATATTTTTCTTCACAGCCCAGGCCCTGGGCCCACTGACATCTCTGATTAAAGTTCCAGTCCGTGAAGGGGCTCAGCGGAGTCTGGGCACTTAGAGAGAAGCCCCATATTATGATGCCACAAAATACAGCTTTAAAGTCATGGAAGAGAGTTCACGTTTTTTCATGCTTGGTTTTTAGAGTATGCTTATGGTTATATAGCATGGAATAAAATATTTCAAGTGACAAGTTGATAAAATAGAGTATTTGATAAAATAGCACAAATAATATGCACATCCACATATGTTCACTTAAAAGAAAAGTAGCACTGTAGGTTCTGAGTGGTAACAAAAAGGGGCTCTGTGTATATCTGGCTAGTAAGGGATTTTTGAGGTGATTGCAAAAGACATGAATTTTCAAAGGAATATATTATTTTTATTTTATCTTAATGGGTAAATTGGTAAGTAGCTAGCAGATACACACAGTCCTATTTTGGCTCTTCAAAAGAATATAACTGTAACCATATCTTTGCTTTTAATCGTTAAAGCTCTCGGAATCAACTGAAATCCAGAGAACATTCCAGAAAACTAAGGCCAATGTTTTGCTTATGAATTATATCTTCATGTAACTAACTGTGGATATTTAGAGATATACTCTTCTGGAACATTACATGACTGGAAACTATAGATTATAATTTATTATAACTAGAAAAGTCTGCACATGAGAAAACAGCCTAGGTCCTCCCACTGAACACACATAGTTCTAGACATTGTAAATTACCCTTTGCCAGCTTTGTCCTAATGCCTGGAAAATGCTGATTTTGCAAACAAAAAATCAAAACTCTATGGTGTTCACATTTGCTATTTCACTCCATCCATTATCTTTCTTTCATTGACATTTCTAGCCCTTCCTTATTTCTCTGAAATTCCATAAGTAAAACTAGAATGCTGGAAGAAGGGGACAGAAAATTAATTAAAATGTATTCTCTTTGTGAACTGTCTCATTTCTAAATGATTTATAAATCTGTTGTCCTCAAGGGTATCCGAAGCTGAGTGAAATCTTCAAAGTACTAGTAGGCATTCAAACAACACTATAAATATAGGGATGCAAACATGTATTTGCTACACAAATATTATTTGATGATAAAATTTGCTTTACTTTTTTACGCCTGCATTTTTAAAAGGCACTAGTATCTTGGCCCCTAGGAATGTGAATAAACAAAGATCTAAGAAGTCTCAGTGCTCTCTGAATTCCTAGGACTAAAGTTAAGGTAAAGAGAACAAAAGAATTCAAACTAGGGTTTTTAGCACCCAATCACTCTGGCTTAAAGTCTACTTCATAACTTTAATTTCTAATCCCTTCCTAATTTTGATGAGGATTTAGGTTATGTTAGGTAGATCTAGTGTGAATATAAAATGATATGTTTTATTAATGTCCACAGAACAAATTTAGAACGAAGCAGAGATCAACAGTCCTACTGAGAGGCTCATTACATCCTACACCCAATCTTAGGAGGAAGAACATACAGCAGCAATCTGTTTACTGCAGACATTAGAAAGTTATTTCTCTCTGGCTACACAGGGGTTTATATGATGTCTCAGGTGTGTGTCAGAGAAGAGATGAGATGAGAGAGGCTGTGGCGAGGGAAAGTGCCTGAGTAATGTGTCGGAGTGACTCCACACAACTTCATCGCTTATGTTTTGACCTTTACAGGCATAACTGCAGCTGAACAGTCATTAGGAGCTGTGCGGTGGTTTGGCTTCTCCAAGGGCATTACTCACCTTCAGGTCGCGATGGACCACGCCCATCTGATGGCAGTGAAGCACAGCCTCCAGGATCTGCTGAATGCAATGACTGCATGCAAACACCAGGGGGCGTGTGTTAGTTCCAAGCTTACACTCACTGTCTGTACACCCTCAGAGAGACTGGGTTCAAGTGCAGAGCTAGCAGACAACTGGGCTTGTGTTGTACCACCTTCAGTAATGAAAACATATTGCTCAAACAGAGTGACTACTACCTCAGAGCAGTGAGGATCTTGCCAGGCGTGAGCCAGAAGGTGGACCCACTTGCCCTAGAAAAATCCATTTTGAAGATGCTTCATTTCATTTAGCAGCTCATTTCCTGGTCATAAATTCTTCCAGGAAATGAATTGGAACACAAACACGATCTTTATAGCTGCTGTGCTCCACTTCCACCCCCCACACACAAAAACTGTTTCCTTATTCTCCCCCATTTTTCCAGCGTCTTTCGAGAAGCCACACCACTCAGGTTGAATTAGGATACATAATGAATTTTTGATAAATCATTAACTTCTGGTACTTTAATTTAGCTGGCAATTATTATCTCTTGCCTAAGGGTTCATCAGACTCAAATGGAGCAATGCGTAACCAGTTGTTCTGCTACAGCAACCCATGGTCTCAGAACAGAAGTGGTGTTTAAATCTACAGGTGCACATACATCACAGGCCAAGTTTACCTCCAGGCAAATGCTGGACAATTCGAGAAAGCCTGCCCCCAAACCTCCCCTGGTAGTTTGCTGTTTGGAAACGTAACAGGTTGTATTCTTAATATTGATTGTCCTTTCCTTTTTGCTATGATGTATATTTAGCCTGTAGATGAGCAAACTGAAAGAGGCATCATGCATTATCATTTCATCATTTATTCATTTTAGGAAAAAGTTGGGAAAGGCAAGGGAACCATTCGAAATGCCCACCCTCTGCCCTTTCCCCAGAAAAAAATAAAATAAAACTCCTTTGATTCAGATTTATGGACTCCATATACTGACCTTCAGGTCCCTGTGAACTATGCCATTTAGGTGACAATGATTTACACTTTCTAGAATCTGCTGTATACAATGACTGCAAAGATACAAGGGCAGAATGGAAGGGAGAACATTTTAAAGGCACATAATCACATTGAATACAAAATAAAATGAAAGTTCAAACGAAACAAACGAACAAACAAAAATTATATTCTTCATAATTTTCTTTTAGCTTTACACTGGAATTAAATAATGCTGAATAAAGCTAATTCTGGTTCTAACAAAAATGACATCCAACATAGAATTTGTGACATGTTCAGACAAAACAATTTGAGCTGTGTTTTTTTCATTGTAAGTCTACAAATCAAATCATGAGGATACAGAAGTTGAAATTTCCATGTCTAGAAGGAAAAATTTATAAATAATTCCCATAATGTTCTGGGAAATTTTTTCAGAGTTTAAAATGTCCAGGTTATTTCTTATACACATCTAAACTGTTTAAAATCTGAGGTCACAATTAAACATAGGTGTTGAAACAAGAGGGTAAACACAGATGAAGTGGCAGGTGAAACGAGGGTCAAAAAAATGGAGGGAGACAGTCACCATTTTGACCTAGAGTGTTGCTTTTTGCAAAATATATAATAGGAAAACTAATACAAGTCTCCAGTATTATGGGGGGAATTTAAAGTAAACCCATATATAAAATAAACCCTTCTTTTGTATAAGAATACTCTGGGGAAGGGCTAGGAAGCTTACAAAAAAATAAATAAATAAAATCTCAAAATCCCTGGGAGTACTGGTGATTGTTAAACCCATGTCCATACACTTCAGTGAAGGAAAACTTGTGCTTATTACTATGTCAAAAGGCACATTTTATGCTATCCTTATTAAAGGCTCACTGATGTCAAATAGACTGCTAACTAAATTAGAGAGGAGAAATCATTGATCGGCACTTATAACGTCCCACAAGTTGTCAACTGACACACAATAATGTAGAACATTACACTGATGAATTTTGTACAATTCAAATGCAAGTATGTACAGAACCAAATTTACTCAATCAAGGATGATGCAAACATTTTAATAAGGACATTTTCAACCATTTAACACAAAATAATATTACTCCAAAGGAAATTCTTGAACTAAAAAACATCACCATCTGATTTATTACAATGTAAATATCACAAAATTGATCACGATTGTGATTTCTAGCTCTAACTGTATTAACAGTACCACTAAAAGAGCCTCACATTGGTTGTTGTTGCCTACTAAGCTTATTTGAGTATTGGTTTATTTTTAAACCATAGGACTGACTCTTTTTCCCTTTACAATAATGTTCACTTTATACTACTTTTTAGGAATATTTCTCTTTCTCTTCTCAAACCATAAGCATACATTATTGGGCCTAGGGGACAACAGCAAATAAAGAAGTAAACAATAATTCATATTAAATCAATTTTACCATTTTTTACTAGTGAGGATGGATTCAATTCTTAAATTCTTAACTAGTAAGAAAACAGGCTTTTACAATTTTTTTGATAAATATCCTCTTTATGCTTGTAATTAGGAAGAGAATGTAACTTCTCCTTGATTTTGTGGGGGACCTATCCTAAAAATATCCTATGGTTAATTCTCAAACTTAATATAAGCATGTATATTCAATAATCCAACCCAAAGGCTCTGTTCTATTATCTATAATGCTCTTTAACAGTGAAAAGAGTCTTTATTTTAATTCCAACCAATATTTTTCAAGCATAACATCCTGTTGAACATAACTTTGAAAGGCAAAATAAATGAAATTCCCTAACTTGTTTACCACCTTGACTGAAATTATTATTCTCTCTTGACAGATGGGCAAATAGCTCCTTCCAAGGCTGCTCTGAGACCCCCTACGGGGCCCTAATGTGAGGATTTGGACACAGCTGAGCAAGTGATGACTCACTCATCATAGTATTAGTGACACAGAACTTTCTATTTGACTTTGGCAGTAAAAAAGAAAAAAAAAAAGAAAGGCCCATGGAAAAATGAGAGTGCAGTCCCGTACAGATAGATTCACAGAGTGCCTTGAACAATAGCACTAAACCAAGAAGAAAAATTAGAAATTTAGGAGTCAGTCTGTGTATGCATGAGCCACTTGGAGGGATGGGGAACTTCAACATCTGCTGAGGGTCAAGCTATGGTGGGATTAGCAAACTTTAGGGAGCTCTGAAAGCATCAGAGAATGAGAATAGAAGATCATTAACTGAATTTTCACAACATTCCATTTACATTGCTAATAATGAGCTAATAGCCCTTGATTAGATTTTTCAAAAGAAATGACAATTACAGAATATGTATAAAAAATGCTGAGGAAAATGAACACCATGCAGTCTAAGTAATATCTCAGCAAGTGGATGAATGTTACTTCCCTCCAAAAATGTTGCTTTTTGGGTAGCTTAAAAAGTTTCAAATTAGACAAAATCTTAGCCTCTTTTAAACTTCTGCAAAGATTTTGCCCATTAACAAGATTAGGAGAATTACTCTTGAACCTCTGAAATACCTAAACAAATATCTTTCAAGTCAGAATTCCCAAGGTTTTAATGAAATTTCCAAAGAGTTAAATAGCTAATAACAATGCTTTAAAAAGACCACTGTGGCTTTTTTAGTCTGTTTTCTGAACAGATAACTCACTGTTCAGTGGAACTTTCTGCGATGACGAAAATGCTCTGTGTCTGGTCTATCCAATTGGTAGCCACCAGCCACTTGTGGCTAGTAAGCAGTTGGAAATCTGGATGTTATCTGACTGCAATTAATTGCAATCGAAATTAAAATAGCCACGTAACTAGTGACTACTACACCTAGACAGTCTCAGCTACCACTGGAACTAGGGGATCTCAAGTTTTGATCTCTGATCTTTGCTAAAAGGAAAAAAAAAAAAAAAAAGGACTTCTTTAGCAGAAGTCATTCCAGTTAGGTGGGGTTTTTTGTCTGTTGTGATTGTTTTCTTTAAACACGTATTCTAACTATAGATGCTGATAAAAATAAAGTTTAGACCAGATTCATAGAAGTTTTTTTCTCTAAGAATCATCCTAGAGATCTTAAAAGACAGAAACATCAATTAAAAAACTTCTTCAGGAGAAGAAGTCGAAGATGGCTTTACGAAATTCCCATATATTTAACTGTCATGACGCATTTGTAAAGAAACATACTGAACGATGTTTGAATGTTGAGTCCTGTATCTTTCCAAGAGCAAGTCACTTACCTGGCATCAGCTTCGCTGTAATATTCTCTTGCCACTATGTCTTCAAACAGTTCCCCTCCAGTAACTCTGTGAAGATAAACAAGAAAATCGACATTTAAAAGGAAGAAAAAATTAGGCATCCATAGGTTTGCAACTCGTGTTCATAAAGAATTTTTTTCTTAGATTAGCTTTATAATGATCAAAGTATTTTAAACATCAAGAGACTTACTGTTTGGTAAATCAAATCTATATTAATCTAAACCTTTCCATTTTTTCTGTTTGTCTTTATATCACTAGATCCTAAAATCACAATTTTATGTATGCCGTAAATATATTCGGCAATATCTTTTACAAAATGGTCTTATAAAAGTTTTCATTTCAATTCTCCAAATGTGAATTGATGTCCAACAAAATGTACGGCACAGTTTAGAAACATCTGCTGAACAAAAGGATGAAGTACGCATCATAGCTGTCAAGTATGAGTTTGTAGGCCTACCTCTCTGCATAGCTTTTCAATCTTTTTAGTGTATTATCTTTAAACAGACATTTTTTTCCCTTGCAAACACGCACATATAAATATACATACTTTTCTCACAAAAGTATAAATGATTAAGCTGGTTGCATTTTTCATTTTACATTAAATTATGGACACCATTTCATATCAGAAGTGTTTTTCCCTCTTTAACACAACATAGCAGTGAGTGGTGATATGCATGCCTATATGTGCATGGATGTACATACATACTTTTGCATATTTGAGGGTATTTCTAGAAGAGATATTCTTACAAGTAAAATTTCTGAGTTAAAGAGTACCCACATTTAAAATTTTCTTGGGAAGACAGGGCAAATTGCCTTCTGAAATGGTTGTACCCCAACACTGTGAAGGTACCCAGAGGTCCAAATCATTACTAATAATAGTTATTATCAATCAATGAAAACACCTGATTGTAAACAAAAGGAATCTCATGTTATGAATTTCTTGATTCTTAGTGAGGTGGACCATTTTCTCATGTATTTATCAACCATTTCTTCTTCTACTGTGATCTGGCTTGATTTTAAAAGGGAACTGCATCTTTTGCTTTTAACCAAGTAATAGCTAACAGCTGCTGAGTGCTTGTAATGTGCCACAGTGCACTGAGCATTGTATTAACTCATAAATCCTGACATTAACCCTCTGAGGTGGGTTTTATTATCAGCCCAGTTTATTGATGAGAAAATGGAGGTTCAGAAAGATTAACTAACTCCACCAAAATGACAGAGCTTTGGTGGCACAGGAAAAATATCCACTTCACAGACTGTACCCTCAACCATTACCCAGTGCAGCCCTTCCAATAACCACGTTGCCAGTTTTTCCAGTTTAGAAAGCATGAGTCATTTGAAAAGGCATGATGTGAAGGTACAAAGTTTCATCTATGAACATTATAGAGTGAGATAAAATGACTCTAAGATAGTTTTTCTTTTTTGTTCTCGTTTGCTTTTATGCTTTATTGAGTTCTGCAACGTCACCAAAGGATAGTACATTCCAGAGATCACCAGCTATTATTCTCTTCTCCATTCTCCTTTTCTAACAAATAATGATGTGATACTAAAAACTATAAATTTTTTTGAACATTTATGCAACCTCCATTGCACTCTGAATACTTTTAAGTCCTTTACTGTCAGTATTTCCAATTCCATTACTTTTACATATAAAATGTGAACCTAAAATTATCATATAAAGCTTCATACAGGCTTGTTCTGAAAGCCATGGTTACATGTCCATGTAATTTCATTTAGCTATGCTAAAAAATAGCTATGCTATTTTTTGAATGAAATAGCTACGCTAAAAAATAGCCATGCTATTTTTTCCAATTAGAATCTATAATAATAATGTAATCATACAATGTGCCCTAGATAAATTATAAAGCAAAATAATTAAATAGACAAAAAGTACTTCCAACAAATCCACTGTTGTCCCTATAATGGTAACAGTTTTGTGGGATTTCTTCCTTTTGAATATATTATTCCTTAGAAATAAGATAAAATCATATTTATCTTTGCCTTTGACCTTAAGTACCTAGAAAATCTGCATATGTTACAAATAATTTGGGACTATTAAAATGTTTAATAAATATTGATTAAAAAGTCTATTATCACTAATAAAAGTGCTTCTGTTTAACGTAGCTCTTTAAACATATATTTTGCCCCGTGAGAACTGTCAGACTCTGGATCCCTGGGATCTTGACTCACTGATATTTGTTATGTTAGTACCTAACCCGGCATTAACACATAATGTTTGTTCAATTAATGAGTGACGGAGTAACTGGGTTAAATGAATTAACCCAGTTAGATAATCATACTATCCATTTCATTTACTGTAAGTCTGGACTTTATGTGAGCTTAACAAGGAAAAAAAAATCATACACACACCAAAGTTTAGCTATAGTTGGCGATAAGTTTTATTTCTTAAGGGGTTTGTATTTAAAGTAGAATATTAAAGAGCATTGTGGGGCTGGACGCGGTGGCTCACGCCTGTAATCCTAGCTCTCTGGGAGGCCGAGGCAGGCGGATTGCTCGAGGTCAGGAGTTTGCAACCAGCCTGAGCAAGAGCCAGACCCTGTCTCTACTATAAATAGAAAGAAATTAATTGGCCAACTAATATATATAGAAAAAGTTGGCCGGGCATGGTGGCACATGCCTGTAGTCCTAGCTACTTGGGAGGCTGAGGCAGGAGGATCGCTTGAGCCCAGGAGTTTGAGGTTGCTGTGAGCTAGGCTGACGCCACGGCACTCACTCTAGCCTGGGCAACAAAGTGAGACTCTGTCTCAAAAAAAAAAAAAAAAAAAAAGAGCATTGTGGTAGTTTTTCAATGATTTATAACAGCTTTACACAAATTTGAAAGGATGTAGAGTTTTATGTTGAATTTTGGATGATGTAGTTAACTATCTTTGACAACATTCTCTCTCATTTTCTAGCATTCATTCTTCCCATTATTTAAAAATATCCTTATTCAAGTGAAACCATTTTATCATTTCTGCTGTATGTAGGTATGTATGTATGATAAATGTCAGAAAAGGAAAAAAAATGGAAGTTATAATAGAATTCACTGCCTTAAAGAAAGATATTGAATTTTCTAACTTTAACACATTTCTATACTCACATTACTGTTTAATGGAGCACAAAATTAAGCAGTAGTTATTACATATTTTTTAACATTTTTTGTGTGCTATGTGAAATTTTATATAATACCACAAATTAAATCAGGCTCATGAATAAACTGTTAGATTAATCAACCAATTAGAGATTTTGTGAATATATTGATGTCAGAGTTCTGCTCTGATATGGAGTATATCAATTATAGATTTGAAGCATTAATTATTATTTATGAGTCTCTGGAACATTAGGGCTTACAGGGAAAAAAGATAATTCTAGAACCATAAAAAGATGAGACTCCACATATCTGAAAGATAAATATTTGTGTTGTTGTTATTGTCATTAATATTGATAGTGACGTTGATTCTCACTGTGCTGCCCTGCATAATAAATTGTTCATTTCTAGTCTATATATTTGTGATTTATATCAGAAATAGTCAAAAGGAGTTTCATCTTGAAGGAAATATTTGTAAAACTTCATGAGTAACATGGCTTTGACTACGAGGCTGAGCAGCTGGGAGAGCCCAAGTTTGGGCTTTTTAAAATACAATGGTGCCACATTAATGCCAGAATGAGCACTGGCGTGGAGGTTGGAACCAGAGCCCGGGGTGGTGGCGGAAGGCAGGAGCCTCCGGCCAGAGTTGAGCTGGAAAACAGGAGCCAATAGCAGGGCCCAGCTAATGCACAGCACTGAAAACACCCCCTGAAAAATGGAGTCATTCCCCCTGGGAAACAAGTGCAAAGCTGAAGAACAAACCCAGTGAGCCAAGACCCCCAGATGCGAAACCCAAGACGCTGAGCAGAGGGAGCAGGAATTCACCAAGCAGATAAGCAGAGAACCACCACGACCAGATTTGTGTGTGTTTGTAAAAAACACATATCTTACACCACCTCACATTTGGGTAACTGGTATGTTTTCGTTTAGTTAAGGGGCAGAAGTGACAGTGACACACTTGTATTGTCCCCTGCATGGTCCCCAACACACTGCCCTCCCTTTGATGTCCCTGTGAAGGGAATATGCTTTAATTAAAGCATAAGCCTATTTTCAAAGCCAGAATCCTTAAGATCTGGTGAACTGTAGGCTAGGGAATCTTTCATTTACAGAGAAAGTATGTGTACCGATAAGTAAAAACGTTTCCCTCAAAACTCATCTTTTTGGCATGACAAAAGGAATTAAACTTAGCACGAATGGGACACGTGTGCACTCCGTGTGCGTGGACTCACTGGTGGACACACAGTAAGTGATGTTCCTCCTGTAGCCTCACACCCACCCATGTCCAAAGCCAGCCAGCGAGGCTGGGAGTCCTGTCGCATCTCGTCACATATTGCAGTTTAGGAAGAACTTGTTACTTCAAATCCACTTTCTGTGCTTCACAGAGGGTTCCAGCCCACCACTGTGTAGATTCCGGATGTTACACCGAACACAGAATAAGAAAGAAACAGGGAGGGAGTAATAGGGTCACAAAGGCGAAGAAAGAAGAGAATAATGAATTCTTTCTGGGGGTCACAAAGCATACGCTGCTCCAGGAGGACCTTCCAAGGAGAAGAAACGTGGGACAGGAATGCCCAGGCAGAAATGGGAGTTTCACTGAAGAAAGGAGAGAGAGAAAGAACAAAAGGATTGGAAGTAGGAATCTCCATCTGTCCTTATTTAGTCCCAATCTTTCCTCCCGTTTCTCACGATATTCAGGATGTATCCATACTGAAGGGGCTTCCACAAGCTCCCTTGTCCCAAATGCACTCAACTTCCCACTTTCTGCCACATTCGTTGCGGGCTGCTCTCGTGATTGTGCTCGCACGCTGGACACTGGTGGCTCGTTTCTAATATCACGACAATCCCACATTTGTCTGAATGGAGGCTTAAGTCAACCCAGTTTTCTTTTTTTTTTTTTTTAAAGATAATGCTGAGTTATTTATCACCTAGGTTTACAGAAACAATGCTTCCTGAAGGGATG